TGATAAAAACAAGCAATTTGAGATGCATAAAAGAATGGAGCATGTTGCAGATTTCTCTTTCTTGTTACACTACTGTTACATTAAGACTCTAAAATTTCAGAGTATTCACAATACTTATATCTACTTTATCTTTTATCATAACTAAAAAAAACATAATGATAAATATCTATCCTTCAACGCCATTAAAGACTCCAGAGGATATAATATTACAAAAGTAAACAAGAAGTATATTGTAAGCAACTTCCAAAACTCTAGAATTGACAGATATATCTTGCTGCCTGGACAGTCACCCAAAGTTCATCTGTAACACTGGGGCACCCATCTTCAGCCTACAGGTCCATAGTAGAGGCAGACTTTTTCATGAAGCAGAAAATTTCAAAGACAGTTTGTCAGTCACTTTTTTCTGTGTCCTACAGAATGTCTGGCGGACTCTTTTATGAAGCAGGAATCCCAAAGGACCGCCTCACCTTTAGGCAAGTTCAGCAGTCATTTTTTGTGAGTCCTGCATGTCCAGTCCATACAGCATAGCATCAAGCCATCCAAGCAAGAGCAGTTTCTTGCCCAAATGACTAACTAATTCCATAAGGAGTCTCTTCAATGCCCATCATCTTCTTGAAGTAGATTAGTGCTGCCAGGAGCAGATGTGTCTTATTGTCATGAAAAGTTCTAAGATCTTAAAACATTTTAAATGCTATTCTGAAGGTCTTTGAAAGGTTTGAGGAATATCTATCTAACTGAAAAATATCTCTATATATTTCATGAAAATATGAAACATGACTACAAGTTTGACTATTATAGATGATTATCTATTAATATATATTTCTTAATTATACATTACATTTTTAAATGAGCTGTACAAACACAATACTTTAATCAAAAGCAGAAATATACATATAACAAAATTAACCTTAAATTTGTATCAATAAACAAAGATCCACAAATACAAAATATTTGTCTCTATATCATATCCCCCTTTAAACATAAGCATTTATAAACAATTGGAAATTTGGGCATAGTTTTCTCCAAACTGTTTCCTGATTTTTGTTGGGCAAAGCAATTTTAGGGGTTTCGGAGACCTTTCAGGGGATCTTGTTCCATCTAATCACATTAGTCTTGAAGGAATCCACAGGTTCTCATCCACTATGGAAACATAGGCAGAACCTCTTTTCCAAAGCAACAAATCCTTAGATCCAAACTTTGAAGTCAAGATACCTTTAAAGTATATATGTTGGTTTAGTTTAGCAGCCTGTACAATGAAAGGTTCCTCTGTACTTAGCTCATTCACAGTCAAAAAATTAAACAAAGCACAATAATAATATAATCCAGACTCTGTGTATTTCCCATCATTCATGGCTTATTTTTCTTTACTCATTTAATCTATCACTATCTGTATTGTATCTCTTTAAAGACTTCACCTTTTTTTAAACCATTTATATTTTTGTAGCTATTTTTCTCTTTCCCAAGCCTAAGTACATTTGCCCAATGTTGTGACCCATTTAGAGGTCTTTTTATCTGAATCTATCTGTAATTATTTTTTGAACAGGAGCGCTTTAAAATGGTAAGCAGTGTGATTGTGGCAGCCCTGGATATTGGACCCACCTCTCTCTGCCTTTCAATATAGCAGAGGTACCATTAACACCAGTTCTGAGACCACTGGGTAGGAGCCACGCTCACCACTTTAACTCTGAGAAGGAGCATGCAGCACATAAACACTTTTTATCTGAGTAAAAGCTAAATCTGCCATGCATTGCGAGGCCTGGAAATATCTCTGTGTATTGCAGCAGGAATCCACCATGCTCTCCTGCCTGTGTACTCCTAACATACCTGATCCTGCTACCTGCCCGGGCAGGGGGCGTTGAGCTGTGGGTATGGTCTCAGCTACTTTCCTCCAGACTCCAAGTGGGTACACAAGCACCCAGACCTGAAGTTGATGGTGACCATCAGCCCCTCAAAACAGCCAGAGCTATTCCAGAAAGCCTTTTCCTAAAGAAACTGTGCAGTTCTTACCACTAAAGCTGAGTCAGGAAACCTCAAAGGAGCTGTGTCTCTGCTTGCCACCAGCAAACAGAGCCTATCTGAAAAAATGTTGTTAACAAGAAGCTGCACTTGGCTCCCTTTTTGTTGATCTAGAAGTTTTGTTTTAAGTTTTCTTAGATTTTCCATGAAAATTTTTCCCCCACGTTAGGTGTCATTCTGTTGGCCGAAGATGCTTGTTCGTTCCCAGCCACCCAGACCCGAAATAATCACTCAGAAACTATATTATTTGCAATGTTGGCCAATAGCTTAAGCATTTTTCTGGCCATGCACATAGCCTAAATGGATAAGGTTCCCATACAGAAAATGACATTGGAATTAAAAATTTTATAATAATAACTAATTAGGTGGACCTTGAGTGGTACAGAGTACATGCATAAAGCCCGTTTATGTCTACTAAAGTTGTTTCAAGATCTGACCTTGAATCAACAAAACACCTGAGAAAATGACCTTGTGTATTTGTCTCTAGGGGCACCAGATATTCGTCTCCAGGGGCAGCTAGCCTACTTTGAATTTGTTCTGGAGTCTGAAGTTAGCTGTCTGTGTAAAAGGCTGTCTGTGATTGAGAATCCTGTCAGTCTGAGTAATATAAAATATCCTAGTATTGGGCTGGAGAGATGGCTCAGAGGTTAAGAGCATTGCCTGCTCTTCCGAAGGTACTGAGTTCAATTCCCAGCAACCACATGGTGGCTCACAACCATCTGTAATGGGGTCTGGTGCCCTCTTCTGGCCTGCAGGCATATACACAGACAGAATATTGTATACATAATAAATAAATAAATAAATATTTAAAAAAAAAATAAAAAAATATCCTAGTATTATTTCTAGTCATCAAAACCATACAGTTTAAGCAGAAATCATCTTCCTGGTCATCCACAGCTATATGTGCCCAATGAGTGTAAAACACACTACCAAAGGGCTGTGGAAAGAACCCCATAGCTGTTCTTATTAGGGAGGTATAGTAGGAGCACCCCAGAAAGTTATGGACAGAAACAGCCCGTCATTAATAGTCAATAACCTCTTGGCTTTGCCCAGTGGGGCTTTCCAACAGAGAGTTATAAGTCTGATGGTCAACTTGTTAAATACTAATTGTCACTGTTGTACATTCCCACATCCTTTTGCACTCAGCAGCTCTCAGCAGCTCCCTCTTCTTTGTTTAATAAAAAAGAAAGCAAGTAAACCCTTTTCTTAGAGCAGCGAGTATAATTATATGGATAATTAAGAGTCTAAATATGATTGTAACAATTTTAAAAATAAGAATCACTAATCTATATTGATATTTAATCAATATATAATCGATAATCAATATTTATATCAATAATCTGTATGATGACAAGATGAGGACTAGTCTAAACACCTTGTAAGTGTAGCTCAGAATATTTATGATCCATAAAATATCAGAGAAGTAACATAGAAATCTATAATAGTGTGACTTGTTGTTGAGTATGTCCAAATATTTTGAATCTGAGTTATCGTAAAAGAATGGCTTTTTCTAGAACACTAACTCTATCTAATAATCTTGGGCTAATTTCTTTTTGAGTGACTAGTGGCAGTGAGACATTTATAGATAAAGAGTTTGCCTGAATAGTGGTGAAAGGAGGTATGTATTTGCTGAATCAAGGCTGTGGCCGAAGCTGACAAGTACCTTTAAACTTGTCATCAAAGCAATTAACAAACCATTTGGCTATACAAGGGCAGCACCAACTTGTTTCAAATCCTACATAGCAAGATTTATGTCAGGGATCAGCCTTGACGAAAATACCTCTTACCACGTTGGGGGTGTGGTAATTTGGAAATATAAGTATAGAATATAAACACATGAAAAATAATAACAGAAACCATATAAAATACCAGGAGGGCATTTCAATGAATACTGAAATTGCCTGCATTTATTTTTCCATATGTTTTCATACCCAAATGCAAATGGGGGAGGAGAATGTAACAAAGACTTTATTAACATAATACAAAGAACAACTTAAACAGTTAATCACTTTAACACTTTGAGATATCAAATCATTAGTATTCTGTTGTTTTAGGCAGTGAAGCTGCCCTAAACCACTTATCCTGAAGGCAGACACTCCCCAAGTGACCCCATAGTTACAAAGAAGGAGCAGAGGTATGTTTGCATATCCTGAACATCTGTCAGGATTGAATGGACCTACTTGTATGAGCTATCTTAATGTCAAAAGAATCAAGTAATGACATCCCACATTGGGACATGCAACTAAGATTGTCAGCTACTTTGAGCAACCTCCAACCCTCTGACTGTCAGACAAGGTGGAAATAGGCTCACATTTTTTGGGCCTCCACAATTTCTTCCTTTTTATTAATTTTAATAAAGCCTGTGCTTCTACAACAGAACAGATGATTACATCTGCCTTAGGTGACCACTATCCCATTTCCCAGACTTACTTATCTTCAGTGCGTGTATTCCAACCACACACATCCATGTTTTAGACGCTTGGGAATAAAAAGCATCAAACCCATCTATGACCGCCGACCTCCGTAAGCAAAGGGTTAAGAGAGAAAGTACCTCTGGGCTCTGTGTCACTGAGCCAACTTTTTGTCAAGAGAGTTTATCTGAAATGAGATAATGTTGTGTGAATAAACATGCTCCTAACGGCTCCTAGTTAAAGGAGAGGAGGATCACCAGGGTTGGGAATGTCCTTTTCAATTGGTCTACGTTTCTTAACACTTTTTAGCTGTATCAAAATCTAAATTTCTTATCAAATATGTCAAATCCAAGCACTCATCGAAAATGTCAAACTTTTCTTAACATTTTACGGTAACTGTCCCAGTCTCTGAGCAACAGCAAAAAAAAGAGAAAAAAAAAAGCCTTTAGGCTACCCTCCTCATATTTGAAGAGGGGCTTCAGTCACTCCCTGTACTGAGTCCTTTTTCCCTGAGGGGAAATTGAGGTCTCAGTTCTCAGGTCCTGTATATCAACAGCAGATTGAATACCATACCGGCAAAATGAGTTCTGTGTCCCAAAGAGATAAACAGTCAAATGTTCAGTCTGTGTTTCTGGTCTGGCTCCAAGGCAAACAGGACTCACTAGATCTGGAAGTTTGCAGAGCAAGTCCATCAAGAGGCTGGAAATCACTGGTCTTCACCAAGATCTTCATTCCCTTGTCAGACTGCAGCAAGCTGTTGTCAGGGTCATTGGTTCCAATACACCTTTTCTCTGCCTGCAGCATGGTGGTATGAGGAAGTCAGGATCACAGGTTCAGGACCCTCTTTCCCCTTCTCCTATGGAGTCATCAGTGGTTGTGATGTCATCAGGGCTGGCATCATCTGCTGTATATGCAATCATCTCATTCAGCTTTATTTTTTCTTCTTGTGAAAAAAAGCACAGACACATCCTCAGCCTCAAATTAACATAGAGTCAGGTCAGGTCTTTTCCATAATCCAGAGCAAGGGTTTTGTTTATCTTGCCTTAGCTAAGGTCTCTTTGGTGCCATCATGCCAAAATCTGTCCATGGCAGGTTGCACACGGGCATCTATAAAAGGTGTATAAGTTAAGGCATTGTGTGGCAATTCTTAATTCTCCTGTTCTATTCTTTTAAGCTTTTTCCAAGGAGCCATGGGCACGCTCCACAATTCCTTTTCACCATTAACAATGTACATGGGGTAAAGGGAACACTCCTGCATTGATGGTGGGGATGCAAGCTGGTACAGCCCCTTTGGATGTCAGTGTGGTGATTTCTCAGAAAATTAGGAAACAACCTTTCCTCAAGACCCAGCAATACCACTTTTGGGTATATACCCAAAGGATGCTCAATCATACCACAAGGACATGTGTTCAACTATGTTCATAGCAACTTTGTTTGTCATAGCCAAAATATGGAAACAACCTAAATGCCCCTCACTCTAAGAACAGATAAGGGAAATGTGGTACATTTACACAATGGAGTACTATACAGCAGAAAAAATGATGTCTTGAAATTTGTGGGCAAATGGATAGAACTAGGAAACATCATATTGAGTGAGGTAACCCAGACCCAGAAAGACAATTGTCATATGTATTCACTCATAAGTGGTTTTTAAACACAAAGCAAAGAAAACCAGCCTACAAATCACAATCCCAGAGAACCTAGACAATGAGGACACTAAGAGAGACATACATGGATCTAATCTACATGGGGAGTAGAAAAGAACAAGATCTTTAAATCTTTAAAGAAAGAAATTTAAGAAGACACCAGAAGATAGAAAGATCCCCCATACTCTTGGGTAGGTAGAAATTAATCTTACAAAAAGCAATCTTACCAAAAGCAATCTACAGATTCAATGCAATGCCCATCAAAATCCCAGAAAAATTCTTCACAAATCTTGAAAGAACAATACTCAACTTCATATAGAAAAACAAAAACAAACAAACAAACAAACAAAAACAGGATGGCCAAAACAATCCTGTACAATAAAGGAATCGGGCGGCATCACAATCCCTGACTTCAAACTCTCCTACAGAGCTATAGTACTGAAAACAGCCTGGTATCGGCATAAAAACAGACAGGAGGACCAATGGAACTGAATGGAAGACCCAGATATCAATCCACACACCTGTGAACACCTGATTTTTGACAAAGAAGCAAAAAATATAAAGTGGAATAAAGAAAGCACATTTAACCTGCTTCTTTACATTTTCACAGACTGGCCTGAAGCTGCAGTTCCCTGAGGCTACGTTTGATGCAGCCTGGCTGTCTGGTCAGGCTATGCTCCTAGCTGAAGCTGGGCAGCACGGTGGTGTGCAAGCCATGCTCCCTCTGTCGCTTGGCCATCCTGCCTGGGTACTTGGGACCAGGCAGCGAGTCCCTCATTGCCTTCTCTGCCTGGGTGGGGCATAGGCTACGTTTAGCGGTCCCAACACAGACCAGCAATAGGGGCGTTGACAAATTTAGCTCGGTTCTCAGGTGCCTGACATTGTAGCAGCTTTGAGATTGCCGTGTGAGTCAAGTTTAGGCGGGTAGAGCTGCGCCCTTGTTTGTTATCCTTGCTTTTTTATTTTAAGTATTGTATTCATAAAATCACATTTTTGGGCCTCCCCAGATTTACATAATAGAGCAATTGTCGGAAGTACATAACAAGACTGTGTGACAAACAAACATATTACATATTAAGGGCAGTTCAACTCCAGGGCTGGAGAGTTCAATATAGAGAAGGGATTAGTGACAAAGGAGTGTAAAATCACTTGTGATTGCTGATATGGGGGCGAAGCTGGGGTCCTGAAGTCTGGAACACAGTGGAAACCCAGGAAAAGCAGGCTATTTAATTTGTCATCCAGGTTCTGTGGTACGAGCTGGGGCCAAGGACATGTAGACAGCTTTGGAGCAGTTTATATTCTTTTATGAATTATCAATCTGCTGGAACAAATATATATTAATGGCAGAACATGAAGTTAAGGAATTTTCGAGTGGAAAACGTTTTCTTAGGTGAATATTTGGAATTTTTCATTTATTTAATTTTTTAATTTTGCATATTCATCCTGGTTCTCCTTCCCTCCCCTCACCCTGCTCCCCGCACCTTCCCCTCACTCCACCCCCCCTCCTCATAGAGGGTATGACCTCCCATGGGAAATCAACAAAGTCTGTCCCATCACCATGTTGAAGCCTGACCAAGGCCCTCCCCTTGTGTCTAAGCCGAGCAAGGTATCTCTCCATTAAAAAAAAGGACTCCAAAAAGCCAGTTCCTATACTAGACATAGATCCTGGACCCACTGACGGTTGCCTCATAAACTGCCCATCCACCCACTGTCACCTGCATTCAGGGGGTCTAGTTCAGTCCTACAAAGGCCACAGCTGTCACTCCGGAGTAGGTGAGACCTCACTAGCTCAGTCAGTTGTCTCTGTGGGCTTTCCCATCATGGTCTTGATCCATTTGCTCCTAGTACCGCTTCTCCTTATCAACTGAACTCCAGGAGCTTGGCCTACTGATTAGCTGTGGATCTCTGCATCTGCTTCCATCAATTACTGGATGAAGGTTTGACCATTATGGTAGTCCTCAATCTGATTACAGCGGAAGGCCGGTTCTGTCCCCCCACTCCACTATTACTTAGAGTTTTATCTGGAGTCAGCCTTGTGTATTCTTGGGAACTACCCTTAGTGTCAGGTTTCTCTCTAATCCCATAATGGCTCCCTCTACCAAGATCTTTCCTTGCCCTCCTTCTCTATTCTTCCCCCAACTTGACCTTCCCGATCCCTCATGTTCTCCTTCCCACTTCCCTTCCCTCATCCCCACTTCTCTTCCCTCATCCCCCTCATCTTCCCTCATCCCCCCTCATCTTCCCTCACCCCTCTCACCTTCCATCTTCCACCCTCCCTCCCACACTCCCAATTTACTCAGGAGATCTTGTCTATTCCCCCTTCCTAGGCAGATACACGTATATTTCTCTAAGGGTCCTCTTTGTTTCCTAGCTTGTCTGGGGTTGTGTACTGTAGTCTGGTTATCCTTTGCTTTATGCCTAATATCCACTTACGAGTGAGTACATACCATATTTGTCTTTCTGGGTCTGGGTTACCTCACTCAGAGTGTTTTTCTTCTAGTTCCATCCATTTGCCTGCAAATTTCAAGATGTCATTATTTTTCCCTGCTGTGTAATATTCCATTGTGTAAATGTACCACATTTTCCTTATCCATTCTTCAGTTGAGGGGCATCTAGGTTATTTGCAGGTTCTGGTTATTATGAATAATGCTGCTATAAACACAGTTGAGCAAATGTCCTTGTGGTATGAGTGTGTATCCTTTGGGTATATGCCCAATAATGTTATTGCTAGGTCTTGAGACAGACTGATTCTAAATTTTCTGAGAAATCACTGTATTGATTTCCAAAGTGCTGTGCAAGCTTGCACTCCCACCAGCAATGCAGGAGTGTTCCCTTTACCCTGCATCCTCTCCAGCATAGGCTGTCATCAGTGTTTTTGTGCTCAGTCATTCTGAGAGGTGTAAGATGGAATCTCAGAGTTATTTGGATTTGTATTTCCCTGATAGCTAAGGATTTTGAGAAATTTCTTAAATTTCTTTCAGCCATTTGAGTTTCTTCTGTTGAGAATTCTTTGTAGATCTGTACCCCATCTTTTAGTTGGATTACTAAAAGTTGGATTAGTTGTATTTTGGTGTCCAGTTTCTTGAGTTCTTTGTATATTTTGATGACCAGCCCTCTCTCTGTCAAATGTGGAGTTAGTGAAGATCTTTTCCCAATCTGTAGACTGCCATTTTGTGTTATTGACTGTGTCCTTTGGCTTCAGTGGGTCCCATTTATTAATTGCTGCTCTCAGGGTCTGTCTGTGCTACTGATGCTATATTTCGAAAGTGGTCTCCTGTGCTGATACGTTCAAGGATCCTTCCTACTTTCTCTTCGGTGTGGTTGGATTTATGTTGAGGTCTTGAATCCATCTGGACTTGAGTGTTGTGCATGTTGATATTTATATCTTCTATTTATAGTTTTCTACATGTCGACCTCCAGTTACGCCAGCACCTTTTGCTGAAGATGTTTTCTTATTTCCATTGTATATTTTTAGCTTCTTTGTCAAGAACTAGATGTTTATAGGTGCGTGGATTAATATCAGGGTCTTCATTTGGATTCCATTGATCCACTTGAAGCTGAACGTGTAAAAAGTTGAGCATTGTTCAATTTCCATGAGTTTGTGGGTTTTCTGCAATTAGTGTTGTCGTTGAATTCTAACTCTAAGCCATGGTGATCCAATAAGACACAGGGGGTTATTTCAATTTTTTTATAACTATTGAAGTTTGTTACTGAGTGTGTGGTTAATTTTAGAGAAGGTTCCATGAGGTGCTGAGACGAAGGTATATTCTTTTGTGTAAGGGTGGAATGTTCTATAGATGTCTGTTATGCCCATTTGAGTCATAACATCTGTTAGTTCCTCTATTTCTCTGTTAAGTTTCTGTCTGGTAGACCTGTCCAGTGGTGAGAATCGGGTGTTGAAGTCTCTCTCTATTAGTGTGTGATTTAATCTTTAGAAGTGGGTTTGTTGTTGTTGTTGTTGTTTTGTTGGGTTTTTTTTTTGGTTTTTGGTTTTTGGTTTTTTGAGACAGGGTTCCTCTGGAGCTTTGGAGACTGTCCTGGAACTAGCTCTTGTAGACCAGGTTGGTCTCAAAATCACAGAGATCTGCCTGTCTCTGCCTCCCGAGTGTCACCACTGCCCGACTGAGGTGTGGTTCTTGTAGAAAGCAGAAGGATGGATTCTGTTTTCATATTCAATTTGTTAGCCTGTGTCTTTTTATAGGTGAATTGAGTCCACTGGCTTTAAGGGATATTAATGGCCAGCTATTGCTAGTGCCTGTTATTTTTGTTTGCTGGTTGTGGTGATGGTATTGTGTGCTCATTTCCCTTCTTTGGGATTTGTTGGTGTGGGATTATCTTTTGCCTGTGTTTTTGTGGAGTAGCTGACTTCCTTGGGTTACAGTTTTCCTTCTAGTATTTTCTTTAGGAATAGAATTATGAGTAGGTATTGCTTCATTCTGGTTTTGTCATGGAATATCTTGTTTTCTTCATCAATAGCGATTGAAAGCTTTGCTGGGTACAGTAGTCTGGGCTGGCATCCATGGTCTCTTAGTATTTACATAACACTCATCCAGGACCTTCTGGCTTTTATTGTTTCCATTGAGAAGTTGGGTGTAATTCTGATAGGTCTGCCTGCATATGTTATTTGGCCTTTCCCCCTTTGCAGTTCTTAATGCTCTTTCTTTATTCTGTATGTTTAGTGTTTTGATTATTATGTGGAGAGAGGACTTTTTTTGTCCAGTCTGTTTGGTGTTCTTGTACTTTCATAGGCATGTTCTTCTTTATGCTGGAAAAGTTTTCTTCTATGATTTTCTTGATTATATTTTCTGTTCCTTTGAACTGGGATTCTTCTCCTTCTTCTATTCCTATGATTCTTAGGTTTGGTCTTTTCATGGTGTCCCAGACTTCCTGGATATTTTGGTTAAGAATTTGTTGGATTTAACATTTTCTTTGATTGATGAATCTCTTTCCTTTATCATTTCTTAAGTGCCTAATAGTCTCTCTTCCATCTCTTGTGTTCTATTGTTTATGCTTGCATCTGTAGTTCCTGATTTTTATATAAATTTTCCATTTTCATAATTCCTTCAGTTTGTGTTTTCTTTATTGCCTCTATTTCAGTTTGCAAGTCTTGAACCATTTCCTCCACCTGTTTGATTGCTTTTTCTTGGTTTCCTTTAAGAATTTGTTGATTTCTTCCAATTTTTTTGTTTGTCTTTTCCTCCATTTCTTTAAGAGAATTTTTCATTTCCTCCTTAAGGGCCTCAATCATCTTCATAAAGTTATTTTTTAGGTCATTTTCTTCTGCTTTATCTGCATTGGGATGCTCAGATCTTGCTGTTGTAGGACCACTAGTTTCTGGTGGTGCCATATTGCTCTTTATGTTGTTGAGTGTGTTCTGGCACTGTTGTCTACCCATCTCTTCCTCCAATCAGTGGAGCCTGTGCTTCAGGGGGTCCCTCTTCCTCCAATTGGCAGGCGCAGATGGTTGCTGTGGCTTCATTGATTGCTCGTCCCTGTGCAGGTAGGGCAGAGCCTCTGGAGGTCAGTCCACCAGGTACAGAAGGGCCCAAGGCACAGGTGGTTGCTCCTCCAGGTATAGGTGGATCCACAGCTCTGGTGATCGCTCCTCTAGGTGCAGGTGGGTCTGCAGATTCCAGCGGTCGCTAATGAGGCAGTGGGTATCTCATACAAAGGATGGGACTGGATACTGGCTGGGACACAGGGGCTCTTTCCCAGAGTCACTCTCTCTCTCTCTCTTTCTCTTTCTCTCTCTCTCTCTCTCTCTCTCTCTCTCTCTCTCTCTCTCTCTC